TGGTTCTCGCTTCCGACTTCATCATGGGAGTGGTGTGCTCCATCTATTGCCAGCCTTGCGAGTCCTCGCCTCAGGCTCCTACTTATGGTTTTCCTATCGCTTCCAGCTCGCACAGTGATCGGGATTTTTACCGCTTCGGAGGCTGATGACATAGCCCGGGTCTTCTGTGTGTGTGTGTGTGTTTTTTTTTTCTTTTTTTGGATGTATAACGGTGATTTATTTAGAAGAAAGAGAAAAAGGAGTTTACATTAAGTAGTAATGTAGCAGAAGAAAGAAAATAACAGATTAGTTTACATAGAGTATGTAGGTACATCCACGTCTATTTTTCCCTTTGTTCCATCCCCGCGGAAACCGCCGTTAGGCATCAGGTCATGTTCGATCTGACACAGATGCTTGGCGACAGCCACCACTGCGATGTCGTCCGCGAAGCCGACGATACGAACATCGCGATTGAAGTTGAGGCGCAGGATAGCGTCGTACATAACATTCGACAGAATCGGCCCGAGGACCGACCCTTGAGGGACACCTGCTGTGACTTCGTAGGACTCCAGACCATCGTCCGTAGTGAAGTCGAGCACTCTTGCCGAGAAGTAGCTGGAAATGATTCTCAGCAAGTAATCGGGTACGAGCAATCGGCGTAGGGCGGTGAGGATGTTGTCCCACCGGGCCGAATTGAACGCATTCCTCACGTCGAGTGTCACCACGGCGCAGTACTTCTTGGTGCCACGGCGCCATCTTTTGCCGGCGATGGCCTCTCATGCGGTGGAGATGACGTCCTCGATGGCATCTATCGTCGATCGCCCCCGCCGGAAGCCATACTGTCGCTCCGAGAGGCCTCCAGGTTTCTCTGTGAAAGCCTTCAGCCGACCGCATATGATTTTCTCAAGAATCTTGCCCACCATGTCCAGCATGCACAGCGGACGATACGAGGACGGCTCGTCTGGGGGCTTGCCTGGCTTTGGGAGCAGGACGAGCCTCTGACGCTTACAGCCAGTTGGAAAAACGCCGGTCTCCAGACATGCCGTGTACACCCGCAAGAAGATGTCGGGTCGTGCGGCGATGGCGATCTTGAGCGCCGAGTTGGGTATCCCATCCGGGCCGGGCGCTGAGCGCTCCTTGATCCTCGTCTGAGCTCCTCTGAGTTCGTCCAGGGTGACGGCCGGGATAGGCTCTCCCGTTTGTCGCGGCAGCTGCAGGGCGGGACCGCCAAGCACTCGCGGGAACAGAGCCGCCACCGCGCCACGCACCAGGAGAGGGAAGCTGGGCTGCCTGGTCTGCGGGCATCGCAGGCGCGACATGGCAATCCTGTACGGCCTGCCCCAGACGTCGCTGTCGACCTCGTCGCAGAGTTGACTCCAGCAACGGCGCTTGCTGCTCTTAATCGCATGTTTTTTTTTTTCTACTCCACCCCATTCGGACACTCACCGGTATCCGCCGTTAGGCATTGCTTCGGTGAGGCCGGGGTTAGTTGAGCATTTCTGCTACTCCTGTTAGTCGTTGTTTTCCATACATCCCCCATCCGTCGCATTGTGATATGCGACGATTAGGGGTTCAGGGACTCATCTTTATCTTCTTGATCAACCTCCGATCCCGCACGATGCCGTCGGCGATTGTCGTATCATCTTTTTCAGAGCCGTCTATTGCGTGGGCTCACATTGCTGGCATCTCCTCCTGAGTTGGGCCTCTCTTCTTAGAACTCGCTGTCAAGTGCCATCTTGTGAGTGTGGTTCTCGCTTCCGACTTCATCATGGGAGTGGTGTGCTCCATCTATTGCCAGCCTTGTGAGTCCTCGCCTCGGGCTCCTACTTATGGTTTTCCTATCGCTTCCAGCTCGCACAGTGATCGGGGTTTTTTTTACCGCTTCGGAGGCTGATGACATAGCCCGGGTCTTCTTTTTGAGTGGTACCCGCTCCACCTCAAGCACAGGCTCGACCACACCAGGCGAAAAAACGAACCTCGAAAATTCGTCTGGTGGGGAACGAACCCACGCCCTACGGCGTACCTTGTATCAGCAGGCAAGAACTATACCCACTGAGCCAAGGAGGCCGATTGATCGCATGTGTGTGTGTGTGTGTGTGTGTGTGTGTGTGTGTGTGTGTGTGTGTGTGTGTGTGTGTGTGTGTGTGTGTGTGTGTGTGTGTGTGTGTGTGTGTGTGTGTGTGTGTGTGTGTGTGTGTGTGTGTGTGTGTGTGTGTGTGTGTGTGTGTGTGTGTGTGTGTGTGTGTGTGTGTGTGTGTGTGTGTGTGTGTGTGTGTGTGTGTGTGTGTGTGTGTGTGTGTGTGTGTGTGTGTGTGTGTGTGTGTGTGTGTGTGTTATCGTACATAGATACAGCCGCCAATGTTTGGCCACTTATAGTCGTCACCGCGAGAGCTTTTACGATAGTATATAGTGACGGGCAGACGCAGGGGCGAGCTAGAGAGAGAAATGGATTGATTTCGTTTGGGAAAGGCTAGATTTTTCACTATCTCTCTCGCTCCCTATTGTTTGAGCGGTAGCACGCAACGACGAAAAAGCTAATATTAGGATCTATTGTATTTTAATAGCCAAGAGAGAGAGAGAGAGAGGAAGAGAGAAAGAGTGACGTTGCGGGTGTGCAAAACAATCGATCGGAGCTACCGATTCTCGAGCGTGCCCAAGTTCCGCGCTAAGAGGCGTCTCTTCTATTATATACATATATACGTATGATGAAAGAGAGAGAGAGAGAGAAGAGTATATCCACGTACGAGCTCGATGCGAGTGGTGTTTGTTTGCTCGGAGAGGGTTTTTTTTCCCCTTTCTTTTTGTATAATCGCTACCGTAACATAAATGTGTGCCATTCAGTCGATTAGATCTGGTTTTTGCTCTTTGATGTATGCATATGTACACGATACTCGAGATGAAGTATTAGCAACAAAAAAAGAGCACTCGTGACTCTGAGCGCTAATTCCGAGTTATGGTATAAGCAACATAGCATTTTCTTTATGCAAAAAACATATAGTTTATAGGTCAAACTTATATAAACAATATAGTAATTTATCGACATCGTAGCCGATCGCCGCGTCGCGTTGCGATAGGATGCTGCAATTGACCTTTAGACGTGGTACATCGTATTATTGCTATCATCGATCTATTCTCATGTGTGTGTGTGTGTGTGTGTGTGTCTGCGCTTGCGCTATAAATCACGACACGCGTGTAATATGGTTTGTCTACCCGATGTTTCATAACACGTCGATTATATAATTCAAGAGGTTTTCCTTGCCCTGAACACGTTTCTGCTGGTCATAATGCGAATGCGAGGCTGCGTCAGATGTGTTAGTCTCGATTTAGCACCTGCAAAAATTCACGCTCTTCAAACTCGTATCAGCTGAATCATGCAGATGATTTCGATCGATTATCCGCTCAGCTTGAAATATGCGATTTTTTTGGGCGCAGAAACAATCGAGAGGGCATGCATGCATATTGCATACGCGCTCGGGAGCTTTTATTAATCTCTCGACGGCCAACAATGAGCACTACATAATATGAGCGTTAATGCAAACAATCTTTCATTACTCCACGGCAGCAATTATCACAAGCCAACCCTTAGCCGCAGTGCATTTTTGACTACATATTATTAATTTATTTAATATGGAGTAGGCAAAGCTTAGCTTGATTGTTTGAGATCGCGTGCTGGGAAATGAGCGTTACAAGGATTGAAATCACTTTAGTTTACTACTTACTTTACTTTTCCTATCAGGGAAAGGTAGGTAAAAAATGATAGGAAAAAAAGAATCGTGAAATTTTTTTTTGTTATATAGCTGCAGAGCCAGCACACAGCTTATATATTGCGCGAGGCGCGCAACACGCATTGCTTATACACTATTCTTTTTATACACTATTCTTTTTATACACAAATTAGGAATTAACAAATTTTTGACTTTTCAGCATTTGATATAATTGTTTAAACACATTACATGTTGTTTGAGATCTACTCATTTCATTAATCTATTTTTGAAAATCGATATTAGAAATCGATTATTAAGAATCGTTCCACCCTAATGACAATTGATGTTTGTTTACAAACAATAACCTATTGTCAATCTAGAGTCTCGAGAATTTTTTGAAAGATCAAAAATTTGTGTGGTACGAGAAAGTATGATTATCCCTGGTCAAAAAGGTGGAAAATCATGTCGTTCGAGTTCGTGTATCAAGGCAGCTACAACGGTATGTACATATAACATTCATAGTATGAAAGAGTTGGCGAATAACGGGTGGATTTTAAATGGTCCCGGAATTCGCACATAATGATGACAGGTCGAGGTCCTGGGCATTGCTTACACCACAAATTCAATTTCCCTGCGATCATCTGATCGGTCGTGAAAACTAATAAGTAGGGAAATGTTTGTCTATTAATTAGACATAAATCAATTATAAATGTTCATAACATTAACAATACGTTGATTAAAAGTCGATCAAAAATTGATTAAAAGTGTGGTTAGTTCCTTGATACACGTTCACGCAGAGGTTTGAAAATCCGGATGGAAAGAAAAAAAGAGTATACATTTGTGCTATTACATTATATTTGTGTTTATTACATGTGTGCGCGTGTGTGAGTATATAAATACTCTCTTTGGCCGCTCAAGTGAGATAAGAGAGCTCGAGTGTAAGTAAGTATATATATGGGTCAAAATAATACTTTTTTACAAAACCGTGCGCACGTATGTCACCGATCTTGACGCGCTTTTGGTATGTTATAGTACATGGTAAAAAGGTCCCAAAAAAATTTTTTTAGACCCCCTCCCCCCCTCCTACCCCCCACTTCCGGTATAAACGTCCATTTTCGATCTATATTTTTTCTGAGGACATGAAGCAATTAAAAAATCTAAAAAAATTCACAAGAATACTTTTTAACAATCCAAACCACCTTGAATTTTTCCAGATTTTTTAAGTGCTTCAGGCCTTCAGAAAAAATCATTGAAAATTCTGAAAATCGAAATACGGCGGTATGAGCCGATATAGTAAACGGAAATTTTTTCAGTTTTTTATTGCACTGAAAAACAGGGGTGCACGGGCAGGGTGACGGCTGGTATGAATGCTCCTGCCTGGACTGGTGGTGGCAGAGCTGGCACGTCAGGCACGCGGGAGAAGAGGGCAGCCACTATGCGGCGCACTAGGGTCGGAGAGCTTGGAGTAATTGCTCTCGGGCCTCTGAGACGGGACATGACTGTCTCGTACGGTTTGCCCCACACATCCTCATTGACCTCGTCGCATAGCTCACTCCAGCATAGGCGCTTGCTGGTCTTGATGGCAGCGCGCAGGAGACGTCTTGCGGAGGCATAGCTCGCCTGGCAGGCGCCTTCATTTGGCCGACCACGTGCTCTTTGGGCAAGCCTTCGCGCTCGCAGGCATAAGCGCCGCAGGTCGGCAATCTCGCTTGTCCACCAGTACACCGCACAGCGACGGCGTCTTCCGCCCGACCTGGCCATAGACACGTCGCATGCACTGGTAATGACGGCCATGAGCCTCGTCGCCATCTCTTCAGTGGGCCCGGGTGGAACCGCAGCATTGGCCATCGTGACTGAGAAGCACTCCGTGTCAAGGGTGCCTGCGTTCCATTTGCAGCTTTGGCGCGTTGTGGGTCTAGGCGGTCTGATGTTCGCTATCTCAAACACAATAGCTTGATGGTCGCTATGTGTGTATAGTTCGCTTACAGCCCATGATGTAATTCGGGGAGCGAGTGTGTCGCTGGCGAAGGTGAGATCGATGACCGAGTAGCCCAATGCACCGGCAAATGTTGGTGTGTCACCGGTGTTTAGCAGTGCAGCTTCGAGGGTGGCGAGCGCGTTCAGGAGGATGGTGCCACGCTGTCTCGTCACTCGGCATCCCCACTCCGTTGCCCAGGCGTTGAAATCGCCCGCGACGATGAGCGGCCTCCTATTCAAGGCCTCCTCTATGATGTCACTGAGAAGAGCGAAAAATTCTACGTCAGCGAGTCTTGGTGGAGCGTAGACACTGAAAAGGTAGATTCCGTTGATTCGGGCCCAGGTGAAAAAGGGACGCGCTCTTGCTGGGCGCTCCTGCACCGTGCTGCCTCCCTGCACCCAGATCGCGGCTTGGCTGTTGGCATCAGCTAGCCATGTGTAAGGCGGTTCAAGGTTCTTGTATTGATCGCTTACTACGGCCACGTTGATGCGCTCCTCGAGAATGGTTTGACTCAGGAGATCCTGAGCAGCCTTGCAATGGTTGAGGTTCAGCTGCAAGATCCTCATTATTGGCGGACTTGGTTTGTCTTCTGTGCGAATGGGCATTGCTGGCTTGTGGACGCGTGGTCGTGGACAGCGCCTTGCTCTTGGCAAAAGACGCACGAAGGTTTGTTTTTGCAGTCCTTTCTCCGATGGCCTGTTTGTCAGCAGCGGAAACAGTGCGCCGAGCGATCTGGTCCCTTGCAGCGAGCCGAGATGTGGCCGGGGCTCCAGCAGCGATAGCAGCGCAGGGTATCCTCACGAACACTGATGCGGCAGTTGATCCAGCCAACACGAATGTGACCGAGTTTCAGAGCCTTGGCGGCTAGGTCATCAGGGAGCGCGGCGACAGCCACCTGCGTTCCCGCGTACGCCTTCCGCAGCGTTTTGACTGCATCCTTGTTGATGTGCGAGGCACTCAGCGATGCGCTCAGTGCTTCGGCGATCTCATCCTCGGTGGTACACTCGTCGAGATCCCGGATCTCGATCACAGTAGTATGCTGTAGGGCGCTGGCAGTGGCCGTGTCACCGAGGACTTTGTCCAATTCCGCGCCGAGGGTGGAGAAATTTTCCACGTTTTTCTTCAGTTGAAGAACCAGGGCTCCCGCAGCGCTGCGTCTGATATTTTGGACGCTGCTTCCGACTGATTGCTGCAAGGTCGTGTCCGACTTGAGGGTACGCAGAATATCTGCATAAGTAGTTGCATCTTTTGCCTTGATTACGATTGCGTCCGGTCGATGGTGAACTCTTCGCTGTGTTGGCCGTGGCTTCGGCTCTTGCCGGAGGCGCGCAGATGCAACTGTTGTTACCGGCTCATTTCAGCGGCGATGACGACGGTGGTCAGCGAGGACAAAGCCGTCCTGATCTGCGGCATCGTTGTTGTTCTCGTCTAGCTGCCTAGATGCAGCTGTCGCGGCACGGCGCTTCGGAGTTCCTAGAGTCTCCGAAGGTAACATTGCACGCCGTTTGCTAGTTTCACCGACCGAGAACAACGGAGACGGGCCGACCGCCTTGTCCGCAGTAGGAGGTGGGGCCGGCCCTGTGCTCTTCTTCGCCTTCTTGAACGCCGATACGGCCTGCACAAGGCACGCCGTGTACCTGCCTATCTCCTTATGCAGGTTTCCTTTGGGCTCGATGAAGCTGGCAAGACCACTTACTAGACCTTCAATACGTGTCCACTTCTCTTCATAATTCCCGGTCGCAAAGTCTGCGATGGTCGGGAGCGAAACATCCTTGGTTGTCACCAGAGGGGCGCCAAGGATTTTCTTCATGGTGGCCGCCGCCACCATAGAAGGCGAGGACCTGATCTTCGATGATAACGGCAGCGGTGGAACGCTCTTCAATCGGCTCGTCGTTCCGTCATCACACGCCGATTTAGGCACCTGTGGCCCCCGCTGCCCGTCGCTCATAGCTACCGATTCGACGTGAGTCTACACGGCAGCGCGAAGCTCGTACTCACACTAACGCGCGCGGCTCACACGGATGGGACCGAGCGCGGGAAAACACAGTACTGTGGCACTTGGCAAAGACACACAATATAAAACAGCTTGTTACAGCTGTTTTATACTTATTTTAAGATCCACCGAGTAGTTAGAGAGTTATGCTTCATTGTATCGGGATGAAAAATGTTTTTTTTTGAAAAAAAAAATTTTTTTCGATTTTTTTTCATGTATAAATGAAGGAATTTTTATACTTTTTTACTGTAGAATGGAAGCAGAGCAGTCAAACTTTAATTTAAGACCAAAAAAATAGAAATTCACTGAATATTTTTAAAATCAACGACTCGAAATGAAAAGTGGTTTTTTCGTTGCTTCCTCATAGAGGAAGCTCTGTGATAGGCTCGAAAACGAGATTTTGAACCAGACCTCGTAGGACAATTTAGTTTATATATTTGGAAACTACATTGAATTACCAACATATGTCTGTATGTGTGTGTGTGTGTGTGTGTTTTTTTTTTTTCTACTCCACCCCATTCGGACACTCACCGGTATCCGCCGTTAGGCATTGCTTCGGTGAGGCCGGGGTTGGTTGAGCATTTCTGCTACTCCTGTTAGTCGTTGTTTTTTCCATACATCCCCCATCCGTCGCATAGTGATATGCNTAGGGTCGGAGAGCTTGCTCTCGGCCCTCTGAGACGGGACATGACTGTCTCGTACGGTTTGCCCCACACATCCTCGTTGACCTCGTCACATAGCTTACTCCAGCATAGGCGCTTGCTGGTCTTGATGGCAGCGCGCAGGAGACGTCTTGCGGAGGTATAGCTCGCCTGGCAGGCGCCTTCATTTGGCCGACCACGTGCTCTTTGGGCAAGCCTTCGCGCTCGCAGGCATGAGCGCCGCAGGTCGGCAATCTCGCTTGTCCACCAGTACACCGCGCAGCGACGGCGTCTTCCGCCCGACCTGGCCATAGACACGTCGCATGCACTGGTAATGACGGCCATGAGCCTCGTCGCCATCTCTTCAGTGGGCCCGGGTGGAACCGCAGCATTGGCCATCGTGACTGAGAAGCACTCCGAGTCAAGGGTGCCTGCGTTCCATTTGCAACTTTGGCGCATTGTGGGTCTAGGCGGTCTGATGTTCGCTATCTCAAACACAATAGCTTGATGGTCGCTATGTGTATATAGTTCGCTTACAGCCCATGATGTAATTCGGGGAGCGAGTGTGTCGCTGGCGAAGGTGAGATCGATTACCGAGTAGCCCAATGCACCGGCGAATGTTGGTGTGTCGCCGGTGTTTAGCAGTACAGCTTCGAGGGTGGCGAGCGCGTCCAGGAGGATGGTGCCACGCTGTCTCGTCACTCGGCATCCCCACTCCATTGCCCAGGCGTTGAAATCGCCCGCGACGATGAGCGGCCTCCTATTCCAGGCCTCCTCTATGATGTCACTGAGAAGAGCGGAAAATTCTTCGTCAGCGAGTCTTGGTGGAGCGTAGACACTGAAAAGGTAGATTCCGTTGTTTCGGGCCCAGGTGAAAAAGGGACGCGCTCTTGCTGGGCGCTCCTGCACCGTGCTGCCTCCCTGCACCCAGATCGCGGCTTGGCTGTTGGCATCAGCTAGCCATGTGTAAGGCGGTTCAAGGTTCTTGTATTGATCGCTTACTACGGCCACGTTGATGCGCTCCTCGAGAATGGTTTGACTCAGGAGATCCTGAGCAGCCTTGCAATGGTTTAGGTTTAGCTGCAAGATCCTCATTATCGGCGGGCTTGGTTTGTCTTCTGTGCGAATGGGCATTGCTGGCTTGTGGACGCGTGGTCGTGGACAGCACCTTGCTCCTGGCAAGAGACGCACGTTGGTTTGTTTTTGCAGTCCTTTCTCCGATGGCCTGTTTGTCCGCAGCGGAAGCAGTGCGCCGAGCGATCTGGTCTCTTGCAGCGAGCCGAGATGTGGCCGGGGCTCCAGCAGCGATAGCAGCGCAGGGTTTCCTCACGAACACGGATACGGCAGTTGACCCAGCCAACACGAATGTGACCGAGTTTCAGAGCCTTGGCGGCTAGGTCATCAGGGAGCGCGGCGACAGCCACCTGCGTTCCCACGTACGCCTTCCGCAGCGTTTTGACTGCATCCTTGTTGATGTGCGGGGCACTCAGCGATGCGCTCAGTGCTTCAGCGATCTCATCCTCGGTGGTACACTCGTCGAGATCCCGGATCTCGATCACAGTAGTATGCTGTAGGGCGCTGGCAGTGGCCGTGTCACCGAGGACTTTGTCCAATTCCGCGCCGAGGGTGGAGGCGTTTTCCACGTTTTTCTTCAGTTGGAGAACCAGGGCTCCTGCAGCGCTGCGTCGGATATTTTGGACGCTGCTTCCGACTGATTGCTGCAAGGTCGTGTCCGACTTGAGGGTACGCAGAATATCTGCATAAGTAGTTGCATCTTTCGCCTTGATTACGATTGCGTCCGGTCGATGGTGAACTCTTCGCTGTGTTGGCCGTGGCTTCGGCTCTTGCCGGGGGCGCGCAGATGCAACTGTTGTTACCGGCTCATTTCGGCGGCGATGACGACGGTGGTCAGTGAGGACAAAGCCGTCCTGATCTGCGGCATCGTTGTTGTTCTCGTCTAGCTGCCTAGATGCAGCTGTCGCGGCACGGCGCTTCGGAGTTGCTAGAGTCTCCGGCGGTGACATTGCACGCCGTTTGCTGGTTTCACCGACCGAGAACAACGGAGACGTGCCGACCGCCTTGTCCGCAGTAGGAGGTGGGGCCGGCCCTGTGCTCTTCTTCGCCTTCTTGAACGCCGATACGGCCTGCACAAGGCACGCCGTGTACCTGCCTATCTCCTTGTGCAGGTTTCCTTTGGGCTCGATGAAGCTGGCAAGACCACTTACTAGACCTTCAATACGTGTCCACTTCTCATCATAATTCCCGGTCGCAATGTCTGCGATGGTCGGGAGCGGAGCATCCTTGGTTGTCACCAGAGGGGCGCCAAGGATTTTCTTCGTGGTGGCCGCCGCCGCCATCGAAGGCGAGGACCTGATCTTCGATGATAACGGCAACGGTGGAACGTTCTTCAATCGGCTCGTTGCTCCGTCATCACGCGCCGATTTAGGCGCCTGTGGCCCCCGCTGCCTGTCGCTCATAGCTACCGATTCGACGCGAGTCTACACGGCAGCGCAGAGCACCGGTACAGCAGCGCGAAGCTCGTACTCACACTAACGCGCGCGGCTCACACGGATGGGACCGAGCGCGGGAAAACACAGCACTGTGGCACCTGGCAACGACACACAACACAAAACAGCTTGTTTCAGCTGCACGAACACAGCGGCGGGGCAGCACACACACATGCACCGACGCGGCGCGCCACCGCGATCACGCAGCACTCGCACAAGCACTATGGCACAACGTGTACCGTCACAAAAGATCGAAAATGTAGGAGCCCGAGCAGAACACGTCCTGTTCGCTTCGCTCTTCGTAGTCCGTGTGTGTGTGTGTGTGGGTGAATGTGCATTTGTGAGGGTGTGTGTGATCGTTCTCCGTGTTTGCTACTTACATAAAATTCTTCAAGGTTTTTCTTATGTCAATCATCGCATCGTCACTGAGCTTTTTATCCAATGAATCATTCACTATTCTCTCA